AAGCATGAAGTTCCTGCTGAGAGCTTTTCATCCTCATATACTTTCAAGTATCCATTTCTAAAGTCTACTGTGTGCTCAAGATCTAACGACGTGAAACAGCAACTGGTGTCTACACCTCTAGACTGTTTACATGCAAAGCGGCAGAAATGGAAGTGTTTTGTGCGTATTAATGAGTCCCCTTTGACTCGGCTCCTGTTTTATCTCGGTTTGATTGAGGTTGTTCGTGGCGTCTCACCGTCAGTTTGTTGAGTTTTGCTCCGGTAAGATCAAGGGTGTCTCCGCTCTCATTCTACGTCCTGTGTCTCACTTTTTAAACATTCTCCTGCTCGCTCTACATCAACCTGTTCGTCCTTTCTGCTCTGCGTTTCCTCTCAGCGGCAGAATAACAACGAAAACGCTCATTGTGTCTCTCACGTCCACTGTTGTCTCACCAGGATGCTGCAGTGGAGGCGTTGCTGCTGCTCAGACTCTGGACCGAGCAGAAGCCGACGGGTGAAGCCTTCCTACCGCCACATCCCCCCGCTTGTGTGGGCAAGAGTTGAATTCAGTCTGACCTGTGGTGGAATGTGACAGCAGAGGGCTGCCAGAGCCCCGTCTGACAAGTCAGCCCAACGATTCTCTCACCGAGCAAGCTTGAACCAGCTCCTTCTGCAGACCCGTTCCTGAACTGCGCTGCCATGCATCAGCTCGGAGCCAAGAGTCTTGACAGCATCACTGCTCCACGGCGCAGCGACTGTGGGAACGGCCAGACTTTGCCGTACTTTGGGTGTGTGGGCACGAACAATTACATGTGCACAGTGTTTAACGGAGGACTCCACAGGTCAGCTCCTCCACACAGGCTACTGGTTTTTGCATTTGCACTTACTGTGGTTGAGTTGGTGAAGCTGGTGTCTGTCTGCCACAGGGCGCTCTTTGTTTGAACAGTTGTTGAAACGTTTCCTCTATTTGCGGAGGATTCTTTTGTAATTAATCTACCACAGTTATACACTTCCCTCCATATGTTAGCCCTAACGGTTCAACAGTCGTTTCCATCTGCGTGCCTTCGTCTCCTTCATTGCTTTGTCTGTTTTGTTTCCCCTCCTGGTAAAACTCAAACCTCATTATTTGAATTGTGGTTTTGCTGATGGTTCCATCTCGACGTTCATCAGATAATGTGAGGATTATTGTTTTATGAAAAGCACCCAGGATTAAAGCAAAACACATCCTGTCTCGTATATTAATTGTATATTTTGTGCATGTAGCTGAAACACAACAGTCGATCACAGGTTCTCAAACATTAAAAAGTCACACAGCGGGATCCTCTGGAGACAGAAACCGTGTGAATATTTGCTGCCAATCAAGACCGAGTCAGGCCTGGACGTGTTAATTGAAAACGACAAATTTTTAATAAAAGCAGCAAATTTTTATTTAACAGTTCTATTAAAAATCTAATTTCTATGATGCATATTACGCCGGCCTGATGAAATAGCGACAGAACGACTGCTCTAACAATTAGGTGTCGGGTCAAACTGGCTCCGGTGGACAAACTGTTTGAAAACGACCCTCCTGCTGCTGCGCTTGCTGCAGGGAGCAGCAGCTCTCCTGGTGGCCGCCGAGCCACACCAGTTAATTAACACCACTCAAGTGTGTCAAGAGGTGGGAAGAAAAATTGCTGCTCTTAGTGGTGTCGCAGCCCGGCCTGCACGGCGTGACAAAGGGGGAATGCAGCGGGAATAACAATGAATTCATTTTAAACTAACATGATAATAACTTATGAGAACTCTTTAACGTTATATACTGAGAAACGTAATTACAAGGAAACACGTCGGCTGTTGTGTTCATGTAATGTTTGGAGGCAGAACAGGAAACATGTTTGAAGGCAGAATACTAAACAATCGTAGAGTCGATATAGATGCAGACACAGCTGATGCTTTTGAAACTTAAAGGTGCAATATGTGAGATTTTGCACGGAAGTATTGCACCAACATAGCAGCGAACAATCTGCTCTGTAAACATATGACATGATAACATCTGAGCGTTGTGATCCAAGCTTCTCTGGTCTTTGTTTCTGGCCACATGTGCCCGTTAGTGCATGTTAGTGCATGTGAACTCCTCCCTTTGAAACGATTGGCCATTGCAAACAGTCTGAGAGCGTCCTCCCACACTGCACTAGATTGCATCCCTGCATTCCTTTCAGCTCAACATGAGTCTTCACTGCTTTTTGAAGGCTCTCCTCCTCTACTCCTCGGCTGCTTGTGTTTCCACCCGTTCTGCTCTAATCTGTGCAGAAAAAGTGGAACAGCGACAAATCGCAAGAAGGCAAAACAGGTAAAATCAAAGTAACGCTACTCGAGTTGACAGCAACTCCCAGCGGCCATCTGATGTGTTTCACGATGCTGGCGTCGGCTAATGGTTGCATTCCTGGTTGTAAGATTTAAAAAATGGGTTGAGGTGTGAGATGCTGGTGCTCTAGCGACATCCAGTGGTTCATGTGTACCCATGCTTCCTGCATGGGTACGCGTGACGTAAACTTCGTCATCCATCCAAATCCTCCAGAATCTGCAAACAACCCAGAACTTGTGTCAACGCTGCAAGAAAACCAAACGGTGCTCAAAACAAATGTTTGTTTTAAAGAGAAGAGTGAACAAAATGATTCTCTGACGCCTTTATAATCCATCATTAGAAGAGTTGTCGTTGAAATCGTCGCTGCCGGTCTTTGGAGGACCTTTGATTCCATCGACGGAGCCCAGAGGGAAGTTTGAAATTCTCCAGAAACCTTGTGGTACGTCTGCCCAAACCTCAGGATTAATCACTGACATGGTGCCGGATCTCCAAGTAGCTGCTATATCCTGTAAGAACTGCGCTGTGCTGTGTTTTTCAATAAGAGATCGCATATGCATACACATAAAGGCATGAATTAGCGCTTAAGTTGAAAGCTGTGATTTTCTAAATAAGGGAGGGACCTGCCAGCATCACTGGTTTTCCTGTGCGATGTGTTCAAGCGCTCGTCTTGTCGTTTTCTGTCAACAGTTGACTCTGATCGCTAATTTAACAGCATCTGAACATTTCTGCATCATGTGACGTTATTTCTCTGCTTCCCTGCAAAAAAAAACGACATATAATCCCGTGCCAGCAAATCTGTTCATAAAGCAGCCCGGGACCGAGTGTGTGGTGTGATTGACGTGGTTTGCATTTCTGACGAGCAGCAGTGACCGTTCTGAGAGGGAACGTGCTGTAAGAACATCAGAGAGGTGGAATGGATGCAGCTAGCAGTTGGTGTCTGCAAGCTGTCGCGTTACCTTCATCTGCCTTTGAGCTCGGGCTCCTTTTCAATGACACTAAAGTAATTACACGCTCAGCCCACGCAGCCGCACGACTGGAAAATAATCCACCTCGGTGCTCATTCACGGGACCCCAGTTAGCCAACAGAGTCATTCAGATTCTTTAATGTTTTTTCTACAAAAATATTTTACATTAGAAAACACAGCTTGAAATATACACAGTCCGCTTGGTTTGCAGCAACCATGGAACATCTCAACTCAAATATATCTGTGTCTATATTTAAACTGTAGGTAAATATATTCAGCAACGATAAATCCGGTTGCCATATTGTGAGGTCTCCGTCACCGGTAGGAGGCGAATCGACGTAGGAAATGCTCTCAAAGCAATATGGACTCACAATCTATCCATATTTATTACAAAAAAAATAAAATAAAATAAAATAAAAATACCACAAACCAATACTACCTCTGATAATGGCAGGGAATGCTTCCGGTGAAAACGATGTGTAGATACGTGTGCGTCATTTCCTCAAATACAGGTAAAGGATACAAGCGAGGAGAACGGTGTGAAGCAACTGTGAGAGTCTCCGATTTGAACTTTCTAACATTCATTCGTCTTCCCTCCCGTGTCCCAGACTGGCCCTTTTTTCTTCGTGGGTGGGAGTCACCCGGCTTTCTGAATGCCATCCGTCTAGCTGTCGACACCCGGCACGCCACTCATGCATCTTTCTGTCAGGATCCCGTGAGGCCGTTCACCTGTAAACCTAACCATCTATCTGCACTACATCTCCTCACCTGTCTGTCCAGAGTGTCAGTCAGCCGTCTACCTACAGTATCTACGTATGTTCCAGGATGCTCTGGGTTCCTGGCAGTAAAAATCCTCTTTCTCTAGAACTGGTGGATCCAACCAGCCTAAATCTCAACATGACCGTTTGATTGGATAGGGGGGAGGCAGGCTGGCACGAAGTTTTGCTTGCCAGCCACTATTTAAAGCAATAGTTTGACATTTTGGGGAATGTGCTTCTTCATCTTCTTGCTGAGAGTCAGATGAGGAGATTGATGCTCGAATATTTCTGGCTCTGCCGAAAGGTCACAAAATCTGAGTAATGGCGCACTGAAATGTGCTGTTTTTTATGCGTTTGCAGGGTTTATGTGGATTAAAGAAACAAGGAAAGGTGATATTAGAGGCTGATGGGAGGCTAAACAAAGCTAACCAAGCGCTGGCTGAAACCAAGTAGCTCAAAGCAACAGATTCCCCAAAATGTCTGTCATTACTATTCTCTTTAAGTGTCATTTTTAAAATCTCTTTACATCCAAGGACGCCATTCATTATTGCTGTAAACTTCTTGTACATGTACCTACTACAGGTTCTCTCTGAGTTCTGTCGTATACCACGTGAACATGTTTCTACACTCAGTTAGCCCTCCTAGCAAAAGATGAGGCAGTTTAGCCGTTTAAAAAAGAAGCGATATAACTTGTGGATGTGTGTAACTCAACACTACCTTTACCGCCAGTGGACCTACTGGGTGTAGTCTGATAATAGGATGTACTACCCATACTGCAAGGCGCTTTAGATGACCATCGGATGTGAAATAAATAACAGCGAAATAATAGCAAAAAACATACCAATCGATATTTATATGAACAAAACTTTTTCCCCGTTTGTGTTTCAGCCGAGCGCCCGCCGGCCCTCCAGAGGAACGAGTCTCTCTCCGTCGCACCCAGAACCTTGCTTTAGCATCATAGCAGTTCAGAGCGGAGGGCCAGCGACAGCGTCCAGAGAGGAGGCAGCAGCCAGAGGGGCGACGGCGAGAGGCGGACCCCCGAAGGCGAGGCGGTGTCCGAGGTGCAGGAGCACACCTCGTAGCCGTTCTCGGCGTGGTCCGGGTGCCGGTGCACGTTGACTCTCGTCTCCGTGCTTTTGGGCTCCGCGTCCGGAGAGTCCGACTGCATCTCAGTGCACAGCAGCCAGTCCTTGGCGATGAGGCGGGGGTATCCGGCCTCCACCTCCATGTCGCTGCCCGGCACCCGCCAGTACTCCTTCCCCTTGAAGAAGTAGGACGAGCCTTCGGAGAGAGGACACGGGATGGTTAAATACTAGAACAGAACAACATGGGGAAGAAAACAATCCAACACCAAACCTCACGTTGGACGGACAGTTAGTTTCATGAGCATCACGGCTGCAGCACAGCAAACAGCAGCGTGCATGAGGTCCAGAGTAATGCCATTAGTGGGATTCACACGCAGGTGAGGGGAAGAAAATGACCCAAAATGACTGAAAGTTTACGAGGAGACCGAGATGAAAAGTTGTTTTTGTGCCTAAAAGTGCACGATTCACAAAAGTAATGAGTGGAAAATGTTCATTATCCCAAGAAGGAAATGTGCCCGTTAGCGCTGGGTGCATAATGGGCTATTACAGCTCAAGCGATCTGGTCAGAGACCTGAATTTTATGAAGGCTATGAGGGTTTGCATTGAAAACTGCAGGAATAAAAAAAAAACCTGTTTTTAGGTAAGACAGCTCACACCGTGGCTGTGTGTTTAGGGCTGCTAATGAATATTGCTAATGAAGTCGGGCTCGGTGTTTGACTCGGGTCTGGAGCTCCAGTGTGGGACTCTGTGACAGCCGATGGAGGAGCAGACTGATTGCTTTGGGTGAGAAACACATCACGTCGTTATGATTATAATATTCTAGAGAAAAACAGTCTGCAGAGTTTGATGCTCGTGTGGTCCTGATCTACAACACTGATTCAATCCTACGCTGACGCCAGCGAGGCTCCGTCGCCAATCTGACCTGTATGAGGTCAATATTCCCCGTCTCCAGCAAATTAACAAAAAGTCTTCAGAATATGTCTTTAAATTCTCAAAGATGGTTTATTTCACCATGACTGTACAACCCCTGGGGCAGCAAGGTGTCTCGGTGGTTTGCACCGTCGCCTCGCAGCTAGAAGGTCACCGGTTCACGTCCCGGTGAGGACACCCGGGATCTTTCTGTGTGGAGTCTCCATGTTCTCCCCGTGCAGCGTGGGTTCTCTTCGGGTTCTCCGGCTTCCTCCCACAGTCCAGAAACATGCTGAGGTTAATTGGTGATTGTAAATTGTCCGTAGGTGTGAATGTGAGTGTGCTTGGTTGTCTGTCTCTAAGTGTAGCCCTGTGATAGACTGGTTACCTGTCCAGGTGAACCTGCCTTCACCCTGAGTCAGCTGGCATAGACTCCAGCCCCCCATGACCCTGGTGAGGATTAAGCGGTGTATAGATAGTGGATGGATGGATGGTTTATTTCGGTATAACTCCTGGTTTCAGGGCTGTATCATTGTGTCTAGCTTTACATTCAGACTCTCTGCAGCTGTGATCGACAGACTGCTGCCTGCATGACAGCTGACACACTGATGACTGACGATGTGAGACCAGGACCTTCTACTGCTTCTAACTTTTCCTCCAAAACAGTCATTCTGTGTGGAAATATCAGTGCATTGACAGCAGAGTGGTTGTTTTCTCCTCATGTGTTGGAATAACGTGTCAGATATAAAATCAGTAGTTTAGTGGTTTAGAGCCACAGTATGAAGCGGCTGCTGGTTAACACGGTGGCTGCATCTCAGTTTGCATTTCATACTCTCCCTCTTGCATTGTCTCAGCGTTCTGTTGGCATTAACGGTACTGTTAGCCACATTAGCCGCACAACGCATGAAAGCGTAGGATTTTCTAATCGTCGTGGTGACAAATTAAAGTCATCCTCAGATGCTAGGAGTGCACGAAGACGCTTGTGTTCACTCTTGCAGTCGACAGCGGAACACTTGGGGAGCTTTCGGAGACATTTCTGACTCAGCAGGTAAAAGTAAACAAACATGTGAGCTCATTCAACTCGTGAGCTCGTAAAGGAAGTCAGAGCTGGACGACTGTTAGTGCATCAGCTGGTGCGTATCAGTTCAGTAAAAGTCTTACTGCCTTGTACAGCTGGGAGGTTATCTACTGAAGTAAACAGCTTCATATCTTAGCAACTTACACATTTATAAGAACCACAAAACACACTAAAATACATCCATAACACCCAAGTATCACACAGGCTGCCTGGATTTTATTTTTTTTCTGCTTTTTGGCTGTAAAACAGTCAGAAATCAAACTCTGAGTGATTATTTTTGCCCCTTTTTTCTCTTGAGGAGTTACAGCAACGTGGTAAAATGTCGGCGGACCTGATCGGTTTGTCTGTGTTCAGACAGCAGTAACTTGTGAGTACGTCGTGCTACCGTAATACACCGAATATCCCCACAAAGCTCGTCTTCTCTTACTTCAGAAACAGGTTGAATGCTCTCTCCAGCACAAACGGTAACAGAGCTATGATGATTTAAACAACACTTGTACAAATGGAGTGGCGGCGCTCCGATTGGATTTAAAGTAATTTGCATCAGTGCTGCTTTTACCCCCTTGCTGTTTGTTGATGCTTTTGGACACATGCAGGTCATTTCTACCAACCTGTGGAGCTAACCTGGTTTAACATGATCAGTTCGACTAGCGACCTCTTATATGTCCCACGTTAGCATCAAAAGTGGCACAAAAAAGGAAGACACTTCATGCCAGGATGTGTTTTAAACACAGATTTGCATGACAAACAGTGACTCTGCTGGTTTTGATGCCAGCTGCTCTATTTCTTAATAGTAAAACTGTCTTTACATACATTTTTATGAATGCTGCTTGTTTTCTAACCCGGAGACGCTCCCTCAATTGAAAATCCATCCGCAGAAAAAGACGAATGTAAAACAAACAATATAGATTTTCTTTATGTCTGCTCTTCCTCCAGCATCTTCTCATCACAACGTCTCTCATCATCCTTCATATCCATCTCTTAAACGCTGTTAATGTCTCTCCTTGACACCATCCTAACTGCTATTGTGTCTTCTTCATTCCTCTGTCCTTCCTCCACCTTCCCTCTTCATCCTCGGCTCATGGAGGCAGCCTGAAGGGAGATGAGGGCTTTGATGTGGCTCCAGCTCCACCGCCTGAAGCTGTGCACACGTGGACGGCTGTTTGTCTGTTTGTACGACCGCATTGCATTTCGTCCTTCCGTGAAACCGCGGCGTCTGCAGGAACTCTCTCTGCTTTCTTGTGTGTTTCTGCGCACGTACGCACATCACAGAGCTCGGAGTCGGACCTTTGAAGCCGGAGAAAACTCAGACACAACACAAGACCTCTAAACACCTGACAGGGAAAAGAGCTTCCAGTGGATCCTCCGGGAGCTGCAGCGGAGGAGAGAGGCGATGCTGTGGACCGGAGTGCCTCCTGCTAATTCTTTTGTTTCAGTTAAAATAAGCTCAAGCGCTTCATCAAAGCCTAATCTGGACAGTGGAGTGAAGGAGGCATTCTTTAAAAGGTGGATTTGCTTTGTAGAAGGCTTCCCAAACAATTTAAGTTAAAGTAAACATTATTAATCTCCATGGAGGGACCACTACAGTATGTCCTCAGCATCTTGACCCGCCATAATTGCTTTTGAACAGCAGGCAACCTTTTCTCCGGCATCTGGGGACCGACTCCAGATCCGAGGCTCTTGTCTAGTCAAAGCAAATGTCAGGACAATGTCGATATCCGCCTCCTTACACTTTTATAGTGTGGTTCTGTGGAACAGAGCCGCACGATGCATGATTTTATCTCCATAATTGGTCATTTAGGAAACGCATTACCCTTTAAATGTAGATTTATATCGAAGCGTATCTCGTCTGAGCCTCTTAAAGTTTCTTTCTTTTTTTTAAATATCCTTTAAAAAATGAAGAAATAGTTGAGGCCAGGTTTATGATGGAGGCTTCAGGTGCAGCGAGGACGCTTCGATCCTGCTTTTTATTTACCTGTTAGCTCCGTACAAAGGTGAGAAAACAGAAAAAAGGCAAACAAACTAAAACAAATCAATATTTGGCGCGAACACCAAACCTTCCAGATACACCTGAGCGAAGAGTTCGTTGTAAGTTGTTGTTTTTATTTTTAATATTTTAAAGCCCGTCTTGGGAAAAGCTGCTTCACTTCTCATATTTACGATCATCAGAGAGTCCTACATCGAGTCTCTTATTAATCAACTTTTTAACCGTGAGAGAGGCGTTAAAATGTGCTGCAGACCAAAATAGCACATTTTTATGTCTGAAAGTCAAGAGGAACGCTCCACAAATAGCCACGATAAATCAAATTGTCAAACCATTCGACGTGAGCCAAATTATTCTGTGCATCTCAACCGCTGCTGGTATTTACACAACGCCGCTCCTACTTATCGCAGTTTATTTTCCAGCTAATAATGTCTCATCATAACCGATAAACACGCAGCTGTGAGCTCACACGCATTCACGCCTGAATATACACGTGTGTGGGTTGTTTTTATAGAAGGCATTTTATAGGAGGTAAAAAAAAAGACCCGAATGTTTTAGCGGCACAGATGCACTCGGTGTGTAAACATTACCGACGTGGCAGATTCGAGCGTGACATGCTCCGGTAAAGATCGCATTAACCCCACCTCCACCCATAAAACTCGCCACCTTCAGAGGACGAAGAGGAGGAAAAAGGTGTGGGAGGAGGAAGGTTAGGAGAAAGTTTACGGCGAGGCGAGGTGATGAGAGGGATCGGACGGGAGGAGCATGCACACGGTTAATGAGTGGTGCGTTTAATGGTGTTGTTCGTTATGTCTGCAGATCACTTTGGGGCCTTTTGTAGTGATTTAAACTGACAAAACTAAAAGCAGATAGTATAAGCTGAATGGACAAAAGAAATATTTAAATGTAAAGTATTCATAGATGAGGGTACATTCAGTTCCTGACACATCCGAGGTGACTGATCCTGCTGTCTGATTATTACGCTGACATTCAGAAACTCGGTTCAACAGATTCTCTCCAAACACTCGAGCTTGTTAATTAGAACGATTCAACAAAGGCAGGTAAAGACGGAGGGCTGATATTAATACCTCCGCATCGCTCGCAGCTCAGTACGTACTTCTGATTTCACGCAGAAAACCGTGTTTGCCGCTTCCTCCGCTTCCGACTCGGTTAGCGACGAAGCGGAGCGGCGCCGTTTGATGGAAGATCATAACGGGCTGATTTACGCTCGCGAAAGGTCATCAGTGACTGGTAATGACTTTTTCAAGCAGTTGTCAAGTGCCGGGTCAGTGGCTGACCATATGTCATAAAAACCACGAGCCAATTTAGCGGCAGTTAGCAGAAAACAATACTGGTCGTGTCCATCTGGCTGCGAGACTTCCTCCCTGATGTGTTTTCAGAAATGTCACAGACGATAATCATATTTTGGAAGCAGATTAATTATCTACAAGCAGAAGGCAGTGCTCATGCTGCCACAATGACACTTCGGCGACAACAGATGAGCAAGATACTCTCAAAAAAAAAAGAAGAAGAAGGAAGTCTTGGCTGTGGTCACAGAAAAACCGCCATTAGAGGAGGAAAAAATAAATAAATGGAGGCTGCAATCTGTGTGAGGACGGTGGTCGCACACTCAAGTTTAACAAATAATTCAGGCGCCGAGTGGGGATGAGCAAATACAGCTCGGGAGGCTGATAAAATATTCCTGGAGTGGGTGCTACAGCGGGAATACCTGAGCTGAGTGCAGCATAATGAAGGCAGAAGCACTCAACCGCTAAAACAGACGTCGGAAATGTTGTCGTTTCTTAAGAACATTTAAATACTCCAGTAGTGACATTTTTCATGTGTTTAAGTAAAGAAAAAGCTGCATTTATCGAAGGTTTTATCTGCTTTTAATGCACCTTCTTCGTTGATCTTTTATCGCACAGCAGATAAATCACGTGGATCGAACAAACGCAAGATTTCTTGGTCACCATATATAAAAATAATGCATAAAATATATAAGCTTGAAAACAGGAGTCCTCGATCAACATTTAGTCCCTTTTTGCTCCGTTTTGGTCTCCACCAGCTCCACTACATTCACACTCTACATCCACTCTTATATGTTTTTTATTTCAGCCTTGCCCTCACCGCTCCAGAGGGTTTGGCTCCCCTGAAACTTTCGCAAACGCTTCTGACCCCGTTTTAGTTTTAAAACTCGGTCCTGGCAGAAAGTGAGACTTCTGCAGTATTGATTTCGAAATAAAAAAAAATTTCCAACCTGCACAAATGATAATTCATGCCACAGCGAGTCTGCAATTAAAACGGCATCGGCTGCTGGAGAGCGCGAGCGAGACGGGAAGCGACAGCGGTAGTGATAGGGCTGCTTAGGGAGGCTGACGGCTGCACAGGAGGAAGTGGAGCTGAACCGAGAGCTGCTGCTGCTGCTGCAGTGTGTAAAATGCGTCGCTGCGAGGGGTAAAATCAACAGTTGCTTTCACTGCCTTCTCTCTCTCGCTCGGGTGCCATTCAAGTCTTTTTAAGGAAGACAAGCTGACTGACTGCTCAAAGGGAGAAAACTTTGCTTTCATCTCCGGAGCCGCGTCGGAAGATGAATCTGCGGATCGAGACGTCGGCCGCGCTGAGGTTAATGCGGCAGGAACATTCTCCGCTGGACCCCCCCTTGATTAAATCTGAGATCTTGTCATCCCATCTAAGTGTTCTTCAAACAGCGGGATCCCTGCGTATCTGGCCGCTGAGCTCACAGTGGCGGCGTGGATTAATTGAGGAGGCCGGCTTGTGGGTTCATAACGCCCAACACGGCTCTTCACTGTGTTTGCAGTGTAAAGGTCAAGGCTGTTGTTGGCAAGCCCAGGCGCCGGTCGGTCTCACAAGTTCTTTTCTGGTAGACTGACTCAGTGTCTGTAATCTGAAAAGTTTGTTGTGTGGAAACTCGAGCAGCTAGTATCCGAAAGGTCCCCAGGCAAGGCAAGTATACCGCTGTACATTTCATTTTCCATAACCGCAGCTCACTTTTTATGGGTCAGTGGGTATTTGTTATGGTGGATGTGTATTTTCCAGAAGCCTATACACTAACTGTGTGTATGTAATGTCAATGTGCAGCCAGTTCCCTTCAGAATAAAGAAACTGATGCTGAAGTAGTAAAAAAAAAGTCCCAAATTTTGCTGAACATGTCAGTTTGAATTGAATTCATATTTCAGGAGCTGATTTGGCAGCCGGCGCCGAAGGTCTAAATATCCACTTCCAACAAATTCCCCTATAACAGTCTTTCATATAAAATTTGTTGTCTCTGACTCAAAGTGCTTGAGTGATGTAATTTCCCATTTTGTTTTCACGACTCCCTTAGGAGCCACATAAAGCTTTATAAATCTGTCTTCACATTTTGAGTAGATTTCCAGCTTTGGCTTATTTTAAAGCGGCGCCATTATACTGATAGAAAGCTCACAGATGAAATCTCACATCCAGTGATGTGCTGCACCGCCTGCCAACATACACCGCTAAACACCAGTCTGTCAGGACAAGGCTCAGCAGTTACGGCCGCTCACCGTCCGACCACCTCATGGCGTCGTCCAGCTGTGGCGGCAGCCCCTTCCACAGCGTGCTGTCTTTAGGGTAGCCCAGGTCCATGCGCCGCTGGTGGTCGTCGTAGCGCCAGTAGTGGTTGTCCTTGAAGAAGTAGGTTTTGTCGTTGTGCAGCCAAACGAAGGCGGCGTCCACTCCTTCCATCGGGAGGCCGAAGTCGCTGATGGGACGAGGATAGCCCTCCTCCACGTTGTTGTCTTTGAAGACCCAATACTTCAGACCTGAGGGGTGAAAACAGAGGCAACACCTTCATATTTTGGTTTAGAACAGAGAGCGATGCATTCTCAATCCCAGGGGGGCAAATAACATCGTTTTGGAAATCTGAGAGACGTGCACATTTATCCTTTAGTGATGGCGCCACCCACAGCAGTATGTGATGCTTCCACACATAAAGGAGATTTTTCAGTTTAAAAAAAGCCCATAAGGACGTAAGAGACTGGAGACTGGAGGTCACATTATTTTTTCATATGCTTCAGTTTCATTTTCATCAGTTGTTTGGTTCAGTTTAAACACCAAAACTGCTCGGTAAAGGTTGAGATTTGTGCAAAATACATCCAACATGCTGCCGCTACAGCTCAACTGGTTGAACTGGTGACCCATGTACTGGGGCTATAGTCCCCGACGCAGCAGTCGTGGGTTCGAATCCAGCCCGTCGGCCATTTGCTGCAGGTCCCTCCCCCATTCGTCTCCCCACTTTCCTGCCTCTGTCTCTACTGAACTGTCAAATAAAGGCCAAAAAAACCCCAAAAAACAAAAAACTTCTAACTACCTGAAAAGGAAAGACAATGACGACACCAGTAGAGAACATTCAGACTCATAGCGTCTTTTTCTGACACTAATGGATTTGTAGATGTCTATCGAACTACCCGTTAGAAAATATCCCTAAAGAGCGTCCACTGTGTTCAACTTTTACTGTCCTGACAAAGACGTGATAAACTGGGAGTGACACCAGCTTCCACACTACGCCAGTCAACATGACGCAAAACGGGCGTAAATAGTAACCTGAAGCCTGGCAGAGACGTTTACCTTTGAAAAAGACTATTTTGTGGTCCCCTGGCCGCTCGTACACGGCGTCCACGCTGTCCAGGTTGGGAGGGAGGCCCCTCCAGAAACGATGAATCTGAGCCGGACGGAGAGACACCAGGTGCTTCTCTCTCGTTAGTCGCCAGAAGTACTTTCCTGTGATGGACAGGAACAGGATTGGTTTGGTTAGAGCTTCTCCTGGAAATCCTGACCGAGTCTGTTTCAAGAAAAGCCACGTTGGAGGTTCTGCTTGGGACAAAAAGTAAATAATCAGCAAGAAGTTAGTGAAGACAGATCATGTTCTCATGCATGTTTTTGTCTATTTCTGGTATAAAATATGTTCTGAATAACAAAAACCTTCTGGATTTTTCAAAAACATCAATTTCAAGCTCCAGCATGATCGTCACAGTTTTGTGTTTAGTCGTAGTTTGTGTCCACATTTACTTTCTTTTCTGTCACTTCCTCTGCTGGAGTTCCTCGTCTGGGCTCATCCTTCGTGTTCGCCGTCAGTGTTTTCTCCTTGTTTCCTGGACTGCTTTATTTGGGGATTACTTACTTCCTGGGACTGTGCGGGACCTGCCCTCTGTGTTTTATGTTCGCCTGGACTCCTGTAAGTGGCCATCAGCTTTTCATTAAAGCCTGCTTTTGTGTTTGCAGCACACCTGCCTGCTGTTCCCTGCATTTAGGAGCTCCTTTGAATTAAAATGTACGAGCGGTCGTCCGGCCACTACAGGAGCATTTTGTTTAGACTGCAGGATGTGTAATCGTGTGTGAGCTGGGATGTGACCCCTCGGAGCCACACATGACTCAGTTTCTATTGGTAGTCTGGACTTCACTCTGCTCCGTGTCCACTTTCCTCCTTTCACCTCTTTTCTTTCTTCTCTCTTATTGTCGCTGTTTGTCTGCCTCTTGTACCACTTAACCTTCAGCAGATATGTTCCACAATAAACATCTTCACTCCGACATTAATCAAAATCCAAAACAGATTTTTTTTCTTCCATCTCTGACAACAACACAGCTCTCTCCTTTGAATTACCAAAGGACCGCTCACACTTTGCCAGCATCTGACCTCTGCTTACCAGGACGGTCGGTTCAGTTTGTGTTCCATGACTTCAGATGCTCAAGCCGTGGCAGCAGAAAGCAACTAATTAGCAGAGGAGAGGAAAATGCAAGCAAGCGGATCAGCGTCTGACCTCGGGACACTGCGATCAAGCGGAACCTTTCCGACGATTTTCAATACATTTCTCAAAGTTTCAAGCTTCTTCTGAGCTAAACTTCATCATCCGAGTGAAGCTGACCACCTTGAAAATCGCACAGTACCCAGACGCAGCTAAACCAGTCACGAGTTTAACGACTATCTGTCAGACGGCAGAGCGTTCAGGCCGACGCTCTGACTTCTAGTTTTCTTTCAGGACCGAATGGTGCGACCGCTGATGGATGATCAGAGAAGCAACACCAGGCACGAACCCAGAAGCCCAAAACACCCCGAGACTCTGTGTGAAGGTACTTATTATTTCTGCTGGATGTTTCTCTAAAGAGTCACAAAAGGATTCCAAACTAGCATTAAAAAACAAACCACAGAGAGAAGCAAAAAACTAACAACAAATACGTTCAAAACCATCCCAAAGAGGAAAAAACATGACTAAAGAGACACAAAACAACCTCAGAGACAATCAAAAACCATCCCAAAGAGACAAAAAATGACCGCAGAGACAGAAAACAACAAAGATCCCTCAAAGAAACCCTGATGGGACAAAAAATAACCCTAAAGAGACACAAAATGAGCTCAGAGACATTCAGAAACTACCCAAAGAGACATAAAATGACAGCAGAGACATAAAACAACAAAGATCCCTTGAAGAAACCCAGATGGGACAAAAATAACAACAAAGAGCCACAGAATGAACCCGGAACTACCCAGAAGATGCCTAAAACCATCTCCACTGAAAACACAAAATGATAACAAAACACCAAAAAGATGCAAAAACAACCCAAAATTTACTCAAAACTGCACAGATAGGACAGAAAATAGCCTCACAGGGATATAGAATGACCTCAATGAAACAAAACAACCCCAAAGAGACTGAAAACAACTTCACATACATTCAAAAAGCACCCCAAAGAGACAAAAAAATGACAGCAGAGAAATAAAACAATGAAGATCCCTCAAAGAAACCCAGATGGGACAAAAAATGACCCCAAAGAGACACAGAATGAGACCAAAGAACCGAAACAACCCTGAAGATGCCTAAAACCAGCTCAACTAAAACCCCAAAATGATAGCAAAACACTGAAAAGATGCAAAAACAGTCGCAAATTCACTCAAAACTGCACAGATAGGCCAGAAAATAGTCTCACAGGGATACAAAATGACCCCACAGACACAAAACAACCCCAAAGAGACTGAAAGCAACTTCACTGACATTCAAAAAGCACCCAAACAGACAAAAAATGACCGCAGACATAAAACAATGAAGACCCCTCAAAGAAACCCAGATGGGACAGAAAATGACCCCAAAGAGCCACAGAATGAGCCCAAAGAAACAAAACAACCCAGAAGATGCCTAAAAGCAACTCAACTAAGAACACAAAATGATAATAAAACACTGAAAAGATGCAAAAACAATCGCAAATTCACTCAAAACTGCACAGATAGGACAGAAAATAACCTCACGGTAATACAAAATGACC